TATATAATTTATTTTATTTGCCAGCTAAAGTTTCAGGACATTAACACGGAGTCTCTCTGTTTAAGATGTTCCCCTTTAGGTTTTATTTAACCTGAGGTGTCAAGTAAAAAAGCACAAATACTTCATTACCTTACTTAAGTAGAAATCTTTGCTATCTATTCTTTACTGGAGGGACTATTGTTTATACAGTTTTTTACTTCTACTCCTTGCATTTTCTTTTTTTCAAATAGACTTCTTAGTTTTGTCTCATTAAAATAAAATAAAATAAAAACTGTCAAAGTAATTAATTTCAGACTAATTTCTTTGTGGTTGGACTCGGTACTGCACCAACTTGTTGTTCACCACATACCAAAATAAGTAGTTTTTCAAGATGATATAAAGTTAAATTTGACACTGTTCCCATTAGCTATAAAATGAGGAAAATTAAGTATGTTAGGTAACATCCACAACTGTAGAAAAATGTTCCTTTAATAGGTTAGTGCAGTAACCAGTATAAGTAACTTTTACTTGAGCAGAAAGCTTACATCCATACTCTAACTTCTACAAAAGTGTTTTTAAACAGTAGGATTTGTTCTTCTACTTGGGTAATATACATGAATACATTTGACACCTCTGTATTTAACCAAAAATGTTAAATCCATGAAAGGTTTCAATAGGACTATAAACTGTGTAACCCATCTTGTCTGTGCTGCTCATTTAGTCACAATTAGGGGAATCACTAGTTTTAGAAATGAAACAGAAATATACTTCTGTTTTATTAGTTTCGTTATTATTTTTTAAAATGAAGCCATTTTCAAGCAGCACATCTGCACTGGAAAAAAATGAAAGAAGATTAAACTGTAGATTTCACATTTTTGGTTGCTTGCTTGAATATTCAGTTTCAAAATTTTGAAAAAAACGTTTTGATCAGCTAACAGATTTAATATTGACTTGTGAATTCTTAACCTCATAAATGTAATCCTAATCTTCTATTAGTATCAACTGGGGTTCCAAGTACCAAAGAAGACCCATGTTACGACTCCTTCACCGCCACCTACCATGACATTGGTGGCGAATGGGAGCGCATGTCAGAGACTGGATTCAAGCTGTGGTGCAGGTGCCTGGGTGGCGGCCACTTCAGATGTGATTCCTCCAGTAGGTTTTCTGGACACTCATGCTTAAATGTAACCACATGTTTATTATTACTTGCTTTTTTAAATATTTTTTTGGGGTGTTTTCTTATAGAGTGGTGTCATGACAACGGTGTCAACTACCGCATTGGAGAACAGTGGGACCGTCAGTCTGAGAATGGACAACTGATGAGCTGCACCTGCCTGGGAAACGGCAAAGGAGAGTTCAAATGTGAACCACGTAAGGCTTGTTTCACACCAGGGAAATTTTTTGGGGTGTTTTGTGAAATGCAGCAAATTTTAACGTGCATGGACCTTCACAGATTCATCTATGTGCTACGATGAGGGCAAATCTTACCAGGTGGGCAACCAGTGGCAGAGGGAATACTTAGGTGCCATTTGCACCTGTACTTGCTACGGGGGACAAAAGGTTAGATATCAAACTGACCTTTATTTTTTCACATTAAAGCTCAATAGTCCTACTCAATGGTTAACTGAGTTTGTTTCTCACAGGGATGGAGGTGTGAAAATTGCCGCAAACCAGTTTCTGATGTTGATACCAGGTTGTTTCAGTCTGTTGGATATGGAGAAAACACACTCCGAAAAGTGAGTGGGCAGCTTTTTTTGTTTTTGTTTTTCTTGATCAAACTTATCACCTTGGTGTTGATGGACTCTTTGCATTTAAATGCTGTTACTCTTTATTTTCCAGAACATCCATTGCCCCATTGAGTGCCTCCGACCTGAGCTGCTAGCGGATGGAATTGCTCCTCAAAATTCTCAGAAATAACTGCTTGATCGGTTGTCTCGTCCTACTTTCGCTCCCTCACCGCCTCGGTTCCTGCACTGTCTCACCTTGTAGAAGCCATGCTTTTAGTGTGACTGCATTATCACTTTTTTTTCTCCTCTGTTCTTATAGTTTACAGCCCTGCAGTCTGGTCTATCCAGATCTCTTTTTCAAACCAGTCGGTTCACTGTTAAAAACACCTGATTAATGCATCCTTTAATATACTATGATTAGACTCAACTGAATGTTCCTTAATACCAAATACAGGCCAAATGAATAGGTTATAGTGGCTACTTGTCTTTCTATAAGATTTTTTGAGTCAGTTCCTTATAAAACGTCAGAAAATAAGTACTGTGTCCAAGAACTCAATTTAATGCTTTTTGTTTTTTACCCATGAACATCTGGTTGTAGCCCTTCCTCTAAGGCCATAAGGTTGCACTGTGAGATTGACAAACGCTGAAAACGTCTATTAATCAAGATTTAGGAATGTTAAGACTAGTATGTGAATGTGAACTGTTCTATTTTTGTACCTTTTCGTCAGAACCAATGTTGTTTTTGCCTTTGACAAAAGAATGACCTTATTTTAATAAAGCTGAAGAGATTCTAAATTGTGAATATACTGCAGTTTGTTTTTTTTAACTGAACTCTGAAACCTATACAGTAGGAACACTGGTTAGATTTTTTTTTCCCCAACCACCAAACAATAATCAAGGTTTAAACAAGTTTTTTTAAAATATGTTGCTCAAAAAAAATTAAAGGAACACTTTGAAAACCCACCAGATCTCAATGGGGGGAAAAAATCATGCTGTTTATTTATACTGTTATGGACTGGGTGATGTGTTAGGAGCAAAAGGATGCCACATTATTTGATGGAAATGAAAATTATCAACCTACAGATGGCTGAATTCAAAAACACCCCAAAAATTACAGTGAAAAAAAATGATGCGGCAGGCTGGTCCATTTTGCTGAAATTTCATTGCAGCAACTCAAAATAGTATTCAGTCATTTGTATGGCCCCAACTTGCGTGTATGCTTGCCTGAAAACATCGGGGCATGCTCCTAATGAGACGACGGATGGCGTCCTGGGGTATCTCCTCCCAGATCTGGACCAGGGCATCACTGAGCTCCTGGACAGTCTGAGGTGCAACCTGGCGCCGTCGGATGGATCGAAACAATGTCCCAGAGGTGTCCTATTGGATTTAGGTCAGGAGAGCGTGGGGGCCAATCAATAGTATCAATTCCTTCATCCTCCAGGAACTGCCTGCATACTCTCGCCACATGAGGCCAGGCATTGTCGTGCACCAGGAGGAACCCAGGACTCACTGCACCAGCATAGGGTCTGACAGTGGATGCAAGGATTTCATCCCGATACCTAATGGCAGTCAGGGTGCTGTTGTCTAGCCTGCATTGGTCTGTGTGTCCCTCCATAGATATTCCTTCCCAGACAATCATTGACCCACCACCAAACCAGTCATGCTGAATGATGTTACAGGCAGCATAACGTTCTCCACGGTTCTCCAGACCCTTTCACGTCTGTCACATGTGCTCGGGGTGAACTGGTTCTCATCTGTGAAAAGCACAGGGCGCCAGTGGCGGACCTGCCAATTTTGGTGTTCTCTGGCAAATGCCAATCGAGCTCCACAGTGCCGGGCAGTGAGCACAGGGACCACTAGAGCACGTCGGGCCCTCAGGCCACCCTTGTGAAGTCTGTTTCTGATTGTTTGGTCAGAGACATTCACACCAGTGGCCTGCTTGAGGTCATTTTGTAGGGCACTGGCAGTGCTCCTCCTTGCACAAAGGAGCAGATACCAGTCCTGCTGATGGGTTGTAGACCTTCTACGGCCCTGTCCAGCTCTCCTGGAGTAACAGCCTGTCTCCTGGAATCTCCTCCATGTTCTTGAGATTGTGCTGGGAGACAAAGCAAACCTTCTGGCAATGCCACATATTGATGTGCCTTCCTGGAGGGATGCAGCTGAAACTGATTAACAACCCCCACTGCTACTTACCTGACCAAATCAATATCGCAGAAGTTTCATTAACTTATTGCTATATTCTGATTACAAAGTGTTTCTTACATTTTTTTTGAGTAGTGCATTTTCCTACTGTTACAAAAACAGAACTTTAATGCAAATAAACAATGACCTTCCAAAACACCTGAAATTTTTATGTATTGCAGAGCAAATGCACAACAAGCTAATGGCTTACCAGCCTGCAGGCAATAGCTTAATATTTATTCACTCCAAAGTTTCTGGCTTAAATGGTAAAATAGCATAAATTTGAGTGACCAGAGGTACTCATTTAGTTTCAAAGACTCATTATTTTGAGCAAAGAAAAACAGGAACAAAACAACTCATGAAGGTTTTTAACCTACTGACAAACTAGTCTTTGCTTAATGCAGCTTGTACAAATAAAGTCCATCACATTTATGAACAGATGAAGTTATTAGAGAATTCTGATCCAAAAAAGGACATAATTTAATTCTGCAAAAACAAAATAAAACAAAAATAAATCCTGCATAGAAAAACAAGAGGGGTAACTGTTTCATTGGGCTTTTGTTCTCAGACCCTTTAATGAGTGGTTAAACTGACTTTCAGTAGCTTCTTGGAGACCCCTAGAGGACAACTGTGCATATGATTTGGGACTGTCCAAATCTTTTGGATAAACATCTACAAATTCCTTTTAAATTTGCCATAGAAGAGCATTCCTTCCATGCCTGAAATCCTGCTCCTAAACAATAGTATAGTGTATTTGAAAAACATACAGTTAACCGGACTAAATGCAGCTAAAGGTTTTATCGTTTACAGATAAAAATTACCACACTTTGTTAACATGCTATAGTGGCCAAGCATTTTTTTGGAGTTTGCCAGGCTGGAGCAATAGGCCTCTCAAATGCTTCACAGAAAACCAATCAAAGCTGAACTCTGATACACTGTATTTAGCATTTTTGTTTGTAGTGATTTCAATCACCACTCCTTAAGTCCTACTAAAATTTCAAGTATATAAACATTAGAAAAAAAATGGGCCAATTAAAATAAGAGCCAACATTAAAACAGACCCAGCCTTCAAAACCAACTATTTTACTAACATAACAGACGACAAGAAGGAAAAACAGAACTATTCAGCAGTTTATTTGCATTTCAATGACCTACATTTAACATTCACAGCTACTTTATGACTCACCCACTTCTAAAAAAAACAGTAGTGATTTCTACAGTTCTCTAATTGTAACAAAAGGAATGTCTCAGTATCAGAGATGTTAGTTGTAGTGATGCTCAGTGATGGAAAAGTCGCAGGTTGGTGTGCACCAGAGTGATTCCCAGCTCATTGCAGGCATTAATTACAATCTCATCAGCAGCAGAGCCCGCTGGAGCAGCGATGTACTCAGCTCCACTCTACATACAGACAAGAGAAGAATCACGTGAGGTTGCTGGCCAGAAAACTGCAGAAATTAATGCATGCACAGATAAAAATAGGCAGCTGGTTATTCAGTGCATGTTCGTGCATTTTACCCGTTTTGCTCGATCTATGTTGTCTCTGAAGGGAAAGAATGCATCAGAGCTGATGGCCACGGCCTGCAGGGTGCTGATCCAGTTCTTCTTTTCAGTAAGTGACAGAGGCTCTGGGACCTCATCGTACATGGACTTCCAAACAGCCAAATCAGGGCCCTGCAAGCACAAAATATAAGCACAACCTTAAAGAAGCTGAATGTCTACTTAATTTGACCCTTTTGACTTCTAGAACTGGAAATTGTTCTGCCTGCAGACCCAGACACATCAAAGGAAATGCAAGCAGAGTTAAAACAGTGCAAAAAAAAAAAAAAAAAAAGAAATCTAAGCAAGTCCTTTTTTCTGGAATGGAGCAGATAAGGAAACACTTTTCTAATGGAATAAGACAATTTCTGTTTGAAATAAGGAAAAATGACTGCAGTTTCTTATTTCAAGTGCATAATGTCTAATTATCTTATTTTTAGGGTAAAATAACTCATTCCACTGGCAGAACATCTTATTTACCTACTTAAATTAAGCGTAAATACACTTATTTTAGGGTTGTTTTTGCAGTGTAGAATCATTGTGGCAGTCTCCTCACCTCTCCAATGGTGTCGCTGACATACTGGTCGACGGCGTTGGCCATCTCAGCTCGCTTCACACCGCTGCGGAACTTCATGTCGAGGACACGTGGGTGGTGTCTGAGCCACCAGTTGTCCGCCTTGTCGCCCGCCAGCCGCGTGCAGTGGATACGAGACTGCTGACCGGCGCCAATGCCAATAACCTGCACTCAAAAAAGAGAAGAGGAAAATTCAGACTGATCAGTTCAGTCCATTTTCTCCTCATTAGTTCGGCCTGGACTCACCTGTCCATCTTTGGCGTAGCAAACAGAGTTGGACTGGGTGTACTTGACAGCGACGGTGGCCACAATGAGGTCCCTCACAGCTTCCTCAGAAAGCTAAATGTTAAAATAACAAAATGCTTAGCTTTGATATTTCAGGCTGCGCAGGTAAGGAGCGTCTCAGGCTGCGACTCACCGAGCCCTTGGAAACAACATTCTTGAAGAACTCCTTATTGATGAGAGCTCCGTTCCTCTTCTGTTTGAGGTAGAGACCAAACAGCACTCTCACCTCAGCATCATCCGGCTCGTAATCCGGATCCATCTGGAAGAAAGAAAAAACTTTTAAGAGGAAAAATGTTTCTTATGTTGTTTGACAAAGAGATCCCATTAAAAATGTGGAAAGATTCACTAAACTGGAGCATCCTCCACTTCAGTGAAAATCGCTAAGGTTTACCCGAAGCACACAGTAGTTGCCGTTCTTCTTTTTCGATAGAATTTTGAGCGCCTCCTCCTCATAACCGGGTGCTATGATTCCATCAGACACCTGAAAAAAAATAAAAATAAAATAAAAAATAAAAATCAGTTCTAAAACCAACGCTCTATTCAAAATAATTTGTCGTGTTTAAAATTTTAATTTACCTCTCTGGATATAATCTTGGCTGTTGGAACGTCACAAACATCTGACAGAGCAATAAAATCCCCAAAAGAGGACATTCTGTCTGAGCCTGGAGATGCAGAAGGAGTTTATTCCTGTCAATATCAACACATTTCAGGCATACAAATGATTAATAAACTCAGTTTGACCTCTTGCTCGTGCGTATGCCGTGGCCAGAGGGGTGAGATCCTTCAGCATGTCATGGACCATGCACACTTTGGCCTCCTCCTCACTCAGAGGAACTCCAACTGCAGCTCCTGCAGCGAAGAAGCAGAAAAACATTCAGATAAAACGGCACAAATCCCTCATCTAACAAATAAGGAGACAGAAGGTGACGTCTAGGACTGCAACTAATGATTATTATGCAAAAATCGATTAATCTTTTGAATATTTTTTCGATAAATCGATTAATAATGATCGGATAGCCAGATTTCCTTAAGGAGGACTTTTTATGAAAATAAACCAGGTGAAACTGAAACGTTTCTCCTTCAGCAGTTCTAGATAGAGCATATTGACAGAAGTAAAAGATTTTTTATCTTAAATGCAAAATCTTTACTTTTTTCCCCCCAATTTTTCTATAATTGCTGATCAAGGTTGGTCCCTGTCAGCTAAATGCATGTTTTAGAATCTCCATACCCCTTTTAACAATTAATCGATAACCAAATTAATTGGTGATTATTTAAATAATTGATTAATCATGATTAATCTAATTGTTTCAGCCCTAGTAATGTCAACTTACCAGCAGGGCTGACGTGTTTGAAGGAGGTGGCAGCAGCCATGCCAAGGGCTCCCTTCAGCTCTCTGACCAGCTGCCAGGCGTTCAGAGCGTCACACAGGTTGATGAAGCCTGGAGAGCCGTTCACCACTGAAATTATAAAGTCAAGATCAAAGTTTTTTTTCTGATAGCAAACAATCATATTGGCAGCACAGTTTTTACCCGTTTCCTCTAATAATTCAATATCTTTAATAATGAGTACTACATATTTGAAGCCAAAAATCCTCAATAACACCCTAATCCTCATTTCCCTCCACAGATTATGGGATTAAAGTCTAGAGTGACTGGGCCACTGCAAAACATTATCACCTTCAGTTGGGAGAAATATGCTGGTAAAATTCAACGTTTGTCATTCAGGCAAAATCTGTCAGACGGTGAAATATACCTGTAAATGATGCAGCTATTTAAGCAATCATTCTATCATAACAACAATAATAGTATTAAAATATTATTTAGAGATACATTAATTGATTAAAATGGCTTAATTTGATTTGTCCCCCAGTTCTTTCAAAGCATTAAAGCTTTGGTCTTAGTCCATCTTTAGGTAACAAACACCAGAACCTAGATTTTTTTCTGTTTTGTAAAAAAAAAAAAAAAAAGTAAATTAATACAAAAAGCTTTATATTTGTTCTCAACCTCTTCCCAATCACAGAAACAATTGTGTATTTTGCAAACATTTGTATGTTTGCATAATAGTCATCAAAATTAAATTTCTGTTAAAAATTGTCTGGAAGGAACAGGAAAGCTAGAGATAAATATGAATGATTCTTATGACCTTACTCTCATATCTCCTCATTTTAAAGTTTATTCCCAGATGAAAGCAGCATACTTCCTCCATAGTTTCCATGTTTAACAAATAAATTAGTCCTCTCTTGAACTTAAAGAAAATCTCAACAATGTTAAATAATTGTATAAATAAATCTAGGCGTTCCTGTAATTCAAATTTTAAAGAGCTAATTAAGCTATTTTAGTTTGCTGAGGCTTTTGTACCCTTGAGGGGGAGCTCAGAGTGCAGTGTGTAGATCTGGGCGGGTGCTTGGTGGGGGTTCATGCCATAGCGGAGGGGCAGCTGGGACACCCCGCGGCTGTACTGCCCACGGAAGTAGTCCGATATGGCCTCGTCATACTGCGCCGTATGTGTAAAGGCCTGAAGAGGAATTTCACAGAAACAAAAACATACAGAATTAGTTTGGCTAAGTTCACACTGCAGGCCTTGATGCTCAATTCAGATTTATTTTGTGGATTCAGATAATGTTGCGTTGTCGTTCACATTTCCAAACATATGCGACTTGTATGTGATCTCCTGAGTGAAATGCATTTACACAACATAAGTGTTCTGCATGTACAGTAGAGGATGCAATGATGTCAGAAGAGAGCATGCTTTGTGTTTACGGAGGTAAACATGGATGTAGTGCTAGAGAGAAACTTGCGATCTTTCATTTCTTCCTCAACTTTAGCCAGAGCATCTACAGGCTTTTCAAGAAGGTTGAAAATAAAGTCTGCTCTCCGCATTATCTTCTGATTGTCGTTTTTTCTTAGACTTAAACAAATGTTATTGTGATATGGAAGGTTCAGGGCAGTGCAAAAATAAATAAATAGATGTGGTGCAAAATGCACTAGAAACACTGAGTTGAGTTCTATTTTGAAGATTCACTATGTAGTGCACGTATGAAGTTATCAGTGTGATGTAGGGTCTTGATTTGTGAATTGATTAGAGTTTCTTCCTGCTTCTGTATAACAAGATCCAAAAAAGTGACCTTTATCGAGTATTGATGGCGTACAGGTCGGCTGAATACGACTTTGCTGTTCAGACACAGGTCACATTTAAAAAGATCAGATCGGATTCAGAACCATTTAGTGAAATCAGATCTGTGTTGTTCAGACTACCATGAAAAGATCAGATACAGGTCACATACGGGCAAAAAAAATAAAATCAAACTTTTGGGTCACTTCAGGCTGCTGTGTGAACATAACCTATAACTCACATGTACAAGAATTTGTTAAAAAAAAAAAACAAAAAAAAAAATTGGGTAACCAGTAAAGGTTAAAGTTCATGGGGCCTGAAGTCCTAAAGCTGCAAGTCGTTTCAACAAGAGATAAAAATGTTTTACTTTGGACTTTGTCCTGCTTTGAACATCGCCTCTTACAAATACTCACAGAAAACCAGATTATGATTCCTAACTGAATTAGCTAATCTGAGGAAAGACCACTGCTAACCGAACCGAACGGTTCATAAACCCTTCGGTCAAATAGACAATCTTTGAAAAATTATTATTTTTTACTGAATTATTGCAATTATTAAATAATATGCAACAAAAATGTTATGAATCATGCAAAGCCTTTGAAAAACAGAAAAACTGCTTTTTTCAGCCTTAGATGAACATGCATGGCTGCAACGAAGGCTGCATGTACAGCTACAGTTTAAAAAATTTTTTTTTTAAAAAAAAAA